TCTAGTTCTAATAGTTGTACGTATTTTGGTTATGTGTCAAGAATGCACGTGGTATAATTGTTTCTTAAATACAGACGTTCGATTGATCAGTGAGCAAATGATAATGTGTGGGTCAAGGTGTAATACATCTTCCTTACATAACAGGAGAATGCTCGTCTTATGGGGTTAAATATTATACCTATACAAAAAGGGCTGTTTGCCAACTATATGAACGAGTTAACAGTTGAGCACTAGGTAAAATCTCCATGGATTGCACTGAAAGATGCTCATCCCTCACGTGGAGAGCGTCTGCCTAACAAGATGTAGAAGAGAGAGTTCCTTTTAATTACGTTACCACTGGTCTTCCCATATTTTGCTTTTCCAAGATACACCATATGGTACTTTGTTTTCCACCAGTCTCATTCCTACTAAATGTCGATAAAGACCTTACGTGGTTGTCACACTTGTTTTACTAGTGCAGGCGAGGTCGAAACCCTGTCAGCAGAGTTGTGCCACATGTGTTAATGGGGCTTCTCCTGCGAGCATGTTATTTTTCATCGTTCACCTTTACCCCTACATGACCCGACACGCAGTTGCTTTCTTTCTGCCATCTATCTGGGAACCAATCACTCTCCTGAACTTGAATGAATATTTTAATATGTATGTATATATAAAAACGACGAAATTGCAATGCCTTGAGGTGATTAATTCAAATAATTATTTTGTTTCTGATATTCGCGCAAAAGCTGGATGGAGGACAGCTAGTTAACATCACTTACTGCCAAATGTAACCGAATAGTTGTATTTGATCATTGCTATTATAATACACTCACTGCTCCAAAGTTTAAAATGATTCATTTATTATTTTCTAAACCTTTGCTATTGACATTTTAGGTGTATGATTCATATTAACCAATTTCAAAGAACACAACTTAAATAACCTCAATGATACTGACACAAGGTAAGCCTACAAAAACTTATTACATATCATTAATAATTATTTTCCTAAAACCGTTTTTGAACTAGTTGCCAGTTAATAGACGTCTTTATCATCCATAAGTGTGTGTGTGCAGTTTATTGCAACTGACTGATGTAATTCTATATCAAATTTTTATAAACCATAAAATCACACTTTGGCTTTGATTTAGTTGTTGTTAAGCACAAAACTACACTTTGTCCAACACGGGTATCAAAACCCAGTTTTTAGCGTCGTAAGACTGCGTCACTGGAGGGGGAGGACATGCTTTTTACAACTTATGGAATAACAATGGTTTGGTTTCAGACATACCTTTGAGGTTTTTTTCATATTGTTAATCTTTTTAAGTCTACTCAACGGACCGATGGGCATCAAGATATTATCTTAACAGTAAAATATAGTTTGTTGTTTTCAGCAGAACACATGGTAAATAATCAATAAAATATAGGAATGGTAATTTGTAATCAGAAAAACTGTTAATTGTACTTACAAGAAAACATGAAAGTATGAAGTTTAATTACTAAAACACAAAGTGAATTGTACTTAGTCCAAAGATGTAAAAGATACATAGCATAAAAAATAAAATAAAAATCAACAGTGATATTGCAATCATTTTCTTTATTTGGTTTTGTATTACATTTTGTTTGATATGTGAATACATTTTCACTTGGATTCAGGTTATTCATGTTTTCTCTTTTTTACATAATATATAAACTTTACAAGATATTCAAACTAAATTAGAAAACATTTTCCAGAACACTACAACACAAATTAGGTTTTCACTCACCTACTACATCCATGATAGTACTTAATTCTAGGCTACATCACTCTTAACAATTACTGTAGCATTCAATGAAACACATCTTTAAATACCTTCTGTTAACAAGAAAATTTTATGTAACAAACTTTTACTGATGATTAATATATATATGTAACGTTCAAAACATTATTTTTCATAAATTTAATTTTTTCCAAGATACCTTATCTCATAATTGAAACAGTTTTCAAAAATAAATATTAGTATGGCAAGAATCACCTAACTACTGATTTTTTTATATCACAGTAGCTGTATGAAATATTTCTATGGCTTGTAAAGAATTTTGCATAAAACATTTATCAAAATATCAGTTATTAAAAAAACATTCATAAAATATTCACTAACAATTATTAAAACTTTGAAGCAACTAAAACACTAATTCCTAAAAACATTTGATCATCATACTAATGAGAAGAACAATTGGGAAAACTGGTCATCACACTGGAAATTTCAAAGGTAAGTATTATCAAGTTTTTTGTTACATGTTTTTAATGTCGATGGAAGGACTTAAAAATTGAGCTTGAGAAGTGACTTTAAAAAGAATTAAATAAAAACAACAAATATAATAAGTTTAAGATAAGCATGGGTTGACATCAGGATTGATAAAAAGACAACCAGATACACTATGCTTTAATATTTCAACGTGATTATTGGTAATTTGTTAGAATTTTCATCAGTCAATTTATTCACACACATAAATAAACAATTAAAAGTTCTAATGTTGTATTTTATTCTGTACATGGTGACCAAGCAACAGAAAACTTCACCATATTTATTTTGATTCTGTTACATCAGATTCCCAACACTGGGCAATGCAGACCCTTTCAGTGTGGACAAAGTACTCATGACCATTGACTTAATTATTTCAAAGTTTTTAACTTCATGCAAAAAACAACATTCCATCTCTTGAGCACTGACTTACAACATCACCAGTTTCCTTTGCACAGCTAATTAGGATAGCAACTTCCACACATGTTGGAATCAACATTGTACAAGTCAGGTGAAAACCCTACACTCTATACTTTAAATTATACACAAAAATTACTGTGTTCTCAAGTACCTTTCCAAAACTCTTTTCAGAAACCACACGTAAGAACCACTGTATTAGACTACTTCATAAGAACCACTGTATTAGACTACTTCATAAGAACCACTGTATTAGACTACTTCGTAAGTTTTGAACAGATATATGTTAGATGTCATATCCAGCTTTAAAAGAATCTTCTTTTACTGAATATGCAAGGGATCACTCTAATGGAGAAGTAATATTGACTATAATTCCAAATTTACTATATGTATCTTCAAGATATATAACAAGCTTTCAGCAAACAAAACAAGTCTATTGTACACAAAAAATCAAATGTATTACAAAAGGATTTGTACTAATATGTCTGTGAATCAACAAAGTCAGTCTGATGAAAACTCTTGAGTGCAAGGTGATGTTCGTGTAAAGAATAAAAATACGTTTCTCCATCATACTATTTGTATATTGCACTTGTATGACCTCTAGAACCTTTGAAATGTTGTGTATTGTATTTGTATGACCTCTAGAACCTTCCAAGTGTTGTATATTGTATTTGTATGACCTCTAGAACATTCTAAATGTTGTGTATTGTTTTTGTATGACCTCTAGAACCTTCTAAATGTCATGTATTGTATTTGTATGACCTCTAGAACCTTCCAAGTGTTGTATATTGTATTTGTATGACCTCTAGAACCTTCCAAGTGTTGTATATTGTATTTGTATGACCTCTAAAACCTTCTAAATATCGTGCATTGTATTTGTATGACCTCTAGAACCTTCTAAATGTCGTGTATTGTATTTGTATGACCTCTAGAACCTTCTAACTGTCGTGTATTGTATTTGTATGACCTCTAGAACCTTCTAAATGTCATGTATTGTATTTGTATGACCTCTAGAACCTTCTAAATGTCATGTATTGTATTTGTATGACCTCTAGAATCTTCTAAATGTTGTGTATTGTATTTGTATGACCTCTAGAACCTTCTAAATGTCATGTATTGTATTTGTATGACCTCTAGAACCTTCTAAATGTTGTGTATTGTATTTGTATGACCTCTAGAACCTTCTAAATGTCATGTATTGTATTTGTATGACCTCTAGAACCCTCTAAATGCATGTACAAAGTTTATTTCATATCCCTGTTTACAGTATCTGGTATTTTCTCCGCTCTAACATGAACTGTTGTGAAATTAGCATTGTAGGGTAAAATGAAACATTGCTAACTGATTAAATCCATAATACCATGTTGAATTGTACTATGTACAAGGTCATAGCATGAGCACTTTGACCCCACCTGGAGTCACAGGATTAATGGGAAAAGAGATTTTTGGACCTTTCTATAGCTTCAAATAAATAGTAACAAATTAAAATGATAAATAATCACTGATTTATTACATCAATTACAATTTGCATTTCATTCCAAAGGATGGCAGAAACTTGTTTTAACCACTTTATGTATTCATATTAACTTTGAAAACTGTATATAGAAGCCTTTGTCATCAGGACTGTATGCCCTTTCTATTCATACTAACATTGTGATCAGTTACTACCTTTCGACGTGTCGAATTATCCAAGCATCAGTGTAGAAAGTCAAAATTACAGTATTAACTAACTGCTTGTATGTATAAGCTATCTGCTATAATTAGTTTCTTCATATACATGTACAAAATACTTTCATGCAAGCTGGACAATGTATTAAAATACACAACATACTTCCACTGTTGACACACAACTTTATGTAATGCATAACATCTTTTAAAGTACATATCAGTTTACTTTTATCAAAGCTTTTCATTTTTTCTATTGTTATTGTACACTGTTGACACACAAATTTCAATACTTTTTACATATTTATATTATTATTTACATCAATTAAAATATTTTTTTACAAAAACAAGATACTGATTGAATTCAGTATTGAAAACAACTGTATACTGGCTCAAACAAATTAGTGTACTATCTTTAATATAACAGTTTCATTATCAAAACATTTAATCCTAGGTACAGTGCTACTAGAAAATTTATCAGGTACAACTATTAGAACTAGATACTGTGAAACTAGAAGACTGATTACGTACAACTATTAGAACTAGACACATTGGAACTAGAAGACTGATTACGTACAACTATTAGAACTAGATACTGTGAAACTAGAAGACTGATTATGTACAACTATTAGAACTAGACACATTGGAACTAGAAGACTGATTACGTACAACTATTAGAACTAGATACAATGGAACTAAAAGACGGATTACGTACAACTATTAGAACTAGATACTGTGAAACTAGAAGACTGATTACGTACAACTATTAGAACTAGATACAATGGAACTAAAAGACTGATCATGTACCTCCAAGCCAATCAGAACATAGAAGTCCTGTACCTCCAAGCCAATCAGAATTTTAACTTCATTGGTGGTAAGCAGAAGTTTAGGCTTTTAAGATAATACAAAACTTAATAAGTTATCTCCCCCTGATAATTCTGTATCGCGCAAACCAACTGATTTTTAACCACAGCAATGCTGAACTCACTGAAACCAACAATCAGAATTGGATCTCATTTTCTTCACAATAGGAAAACAGAAACCACAGTTTCCAAATTGTGCACACAGTAAGTATTCACACTAGTATCGATCTATAGCATCAGTTAGTTAGCCGTCATGTACTTCCATATAATGAAATGATTGGTTAAAGATGGTTGACTGTTATATAATTATGTATCGATCTGTAACATCAGTTAGTTAGCCGTCATGTACTTCCATATAATGAAATGATTGGTTAAAAATAGTTGACTGTTATATAATTATTTATCGATCTATAGCATCAGTTAATTAGAATTAAGTGCTATTACACAGCTACTATCATTATGTAAAGAGATTAAAAATGTGTGTTTATTCTATATAATTATTATTAACACCGGTCCCACAAGCCAGCCCCTCATCTTGATGTAGATCTGAAAAATTGAATAATTCCGGAAAGGATTGGGTTGTTTTGTTTAGACAAAAAAAAGAAGACCTTTGACACTTTTCGAGGTCTATATAGTGACATGTACTAGACCCTTGACCATGAGAGCCAACATGGAGAAGTTAACTTGTAAATGAAACTAAAACTATGCAGCAATGAAGCATGCTTGATATGTTCTAGATGTAGTTGTGAATGTTATGGTTTAAAAGTAGCGATTAAGCAAAATCGAATTTCCCTCTTAAAATATTAAATTTACTTTTCCTTGTTGCAAATAAAGTTATATTTTACCTTTACAGCGGACTGTCTACTGACAAGGGTTAAATATTAAGCAAATTTAAATAAAATCGAATAGATCAAGCCCATCAAAGTATGGCTTGGGTAAGTGTGACGTAGCCGTTCATTCAATTGACTTCCATATAATCAAATGATTGGTGGACAAAACCCCCATATGAAAGAGAGCTTGCTTGTATCAGAAGCTACAACTTATGGAAGTCGATTCAGCAAACTAATGTGTATTTTATAGTAATAATACTTGTTTAAATATGTTCTAATTATTGGTTATTTTTAATGATTAAACGGGTTACAATTAAGCGACTTTTGAAAATTGTTTTAAATGAGTGAATCCTGTGTAGCATTAATTTACACACAAAAGTTTATTTATTTATTATTATGCACAAAGCTACACAATGGGCTATCCACGTTATGGCCACCACGAGGGTTGAAATCCGTTTTTTAGTGTTGTGAGCCCTAAGACTTTCCGCTGAGCTGGGGGGGGGGATAAAAAGGACTTTGTGAAAATAAACATTAAAATAGTTTTGTTCATTACTCATACAAGCCGCCTTTTATCCACGTGATGTTAGGTTATAGATGTTTGTTTTCAGCTTCTATTATCATGTATACTTTTTGCAAGATAAGCGTGCAAATATCTAAATGGAGTTTAAATGATCAAGCAAATGTTGCGTTTAATATTATTGACCTCGTTGCTGTGGTAATTAAATGGGAAATGATAATACTTCTGCGTAGTACATACCGACTTGAATATATTTATCTTGATTTAAATGGAGATAACTTCCTTCCAAACATTGCAGGAACATAAACATTTCTACACACACAACATCTGCCTGAATAAACCAAACTATCTTCCAATTCTACATGAAGTACGCTGGACCATGCAATCAAGTCTGTATATAACTTGTATTACGTGATGGGTGGGTGTTTTCTTATAGCAAAGCCACATCGGGATATATACATGCGTCCACCGAGGGGAATCGAACCCCTGATTTTAGTGTTGTAAATCCGAAGACTTACCCCTGTCCCTCCGGGAGACTAGTTCAAAACATTTGCCTCGCACTTTTAATTGGGAGGACTTTCCTTCCATAGCAAATATGGCACACCATAGAAGTCCTGTACCTCCAAGCCAATCAGAACATAGAAGTGGTTGACTGTTATATAATTATATCTTTAACCAATCATTTGATTATATGGAAGTACATGACGGCTAACTAACTGATGTTACAGTTAGATACATAATTATATAACAGTCAACCATCTTTAACCAATCATTTCATTATATGGAAGTACATGACGACTAACTAACCGATGTTACAGATAGATACATAATTATATAACAGTCAACCATCTTTAACCAATCATTTAATTATATGGAAGTACATCACGGCTAACTAACTAATGTTACAGATAGATATATAATTATATAACAGTCAACCATCTTTAACTAATCAATTGATTATATGGAAGTACATCACGGCTAACTAATTGATGTTACAGATAGATACATAATTATATAACAGTCAACCATCTTTAACCAATCATTTCATTATATGGAAGTACATCACGGCTAACTAACTGATGCTACAGATAGATACATAATTATATAACAGTCAACCATCTTTAACCAATCAATTGATTATATGGAAGTACATTACGGCTAAATAACTGATGTTACAGATAGATACATTATTATATAACAGTCAACCATCATTAACCAATCAATTGATTATATGGAAGTACATGACGGCTAACTAACTGATGTTACAGATAGATACATAATTATATAACAGTCAACCATCTTTAACCAATCATTTCACTATATGGAAGTACATCACGGCTAACTAACTGATGTTACAGATAGATACATCATTATATAACAGTCAACCATCTTTAACCAATCAATTGATTATATGGAAGTACATGA